TCTCCCAACTAGAATATAAGCTCTAAGAGGAAAAGGTCTTTGGATGTCTGGTGTCACTGCTGCACACCAGGCACACAGCAGGTGCCCAATAAATATCTGATGAATACATCAAATGAATGAGGAGTGTGACAGTTCAAGAAAAAAATCAAATGAGAAATTAGGCTTCTTAGCAGCCCAAGAAGAGTTCTCTATCTAGAAGTTTTCAAACCAGCTGACGCAAGTGTTTTTGGTGTTAACCAGGCAGCTGCAAGACTGCTATGGAGAGGACACCGTGTACCATGGAGATTAATGGCATGAGCTTTGGAGGCAGCTAACCCCGCACAGATGTGCGACTTGGACAGGTTACTGAGCTTGCTAAGCCCCCGTCTCACTCTCTGAACAGGGATAATGACACCTCTCTCACACGGTGGTTGTGAGGATTAGATGAGGTAATCCTTTAAAGCCCCCATCCTAGCACACGGTAAGAAGCATGCAACAATGAATAGCATAGCTGTGGGGAAGCATTAATAACCAACAGCCTTTTTCAGGAGAATCGCTTGAGCCCAGGAGGTGGAGGCTGCAGTGAGCTGAGATCGCGCCACTGCACTCCAGCCTGGGCGACAGAGCAAGAACCCGTCTCAAACAAAACAAAACAAAACAAAACAAAACAAAACAAAAAACCAAACCAACAGTCTTTTAAAAAGCAGTGGTTCCCAACCTTGGTCATAGGATGGACCCCCCCAACCCCCCACCCTACCAATCCCCCAGGGAAATTTACAAAACCCCTGATGTGTGGTCCCACCCTCGGAGATCCTGATTAATTAGTCTGGGATGCAGGGAGGACACGGGAATTTTTTAAAGCTCCCTTGGGACTTCTAATGTGCAGCCAGGACTGAAAACCTCCGCCGGCCTTGAAGACATCTCCAGATTAAGTATTTAGTCAGGAGCGCCTGCCAAAATTAGGTTTTGGAATTACACCCACCTCTCTTTGTGAGACACCATGTCTGTTGATGGTTAAGAGTTCTTGGATACGCAGTGCTTCTCCACACCCACAACCTGATAAGTGGTTTTCCATGGGACATTTCTCCCCCCACCCTCCGCCTCTCCATCGTTTCTCACTCAAATATTTTAAAATTATACTGTAAAGAAGAGTTCAGGAATCAAGCATGCTCATTAATGTCATTTAAAACAACTGTTAAAAAAAATAAGTGACTGGTAGTGTCTGTATCTAACTCATAAGTTTGTGGCTGGCGGGTTATAAAATATGGGTCAATTAACAGTTAATTGTGAATTGGAACAAGATTCACAATGCACACATGTCATGATTAGTTAGGCGTAGAAATGGCTCCAGTCAGGATGTTGGCAGCGGTTCACAGACTGACTTAATGTGCCTCCCTGCAGGGAAGGTGCCCTTTCATCTTGCACCCTCTGGCTTTTGGAGAGTGACTGCCACGGGAGTGTCTCCCTCCACTGCTGCAAGAGGACTGTTAGCTCTCAGGTCATTTGTAAGGATGCTCCCCGGGATAACCAGGTCTTGAGTTCGTTCAAAACCATTAGAGAGTAAACATTTTATATTGGCAACTTCAGAGATAGCTAAGTACTGTGGTTCTGAAATAAAATAACTCTATCCCGGCCGGGCGCGGCAGCTCACGCCTGTAGTCCCAGCACTTTGGCAGGCCCAGGCGGGCAGATCACGAGGTCAGGAGATCGAGACCATCCTGGCTAACACGGTGAAACCCCATTTCTACTAAAAATACAAAAAATTAGCCGGGCATGGTGGTGGGTGCCTGTAGTCCCAGCTACTCCGGAGGCTGAGGCAGGAGAATGGCATGAACCGGGAGACGAAGCTTGCAGTGAGCCGAGATCGTGCCACTGCACTCCAGCCTGGGTGACAGACCGAGACTCTGTCTCAAATAAATAAATAAATAAATAACTCTATCCCAGGTGGTTACACATGATCAGATTTGGAGGCTGCAAAATACCAACAAGTGTTGAAGTAGAGTCACATCCTTGTGCAGTAATGGTTATTAAGGGGGTATAATCATGCTTTTTTTTTTTTTTTTCTGTGTGTGGTTTCCAATGTGGTTGGAAATAAACATAGTTAAATTACCAGTTTCTGGCTTTGATAAATCATTGGAACTTGGGGCACACACACACACCCCCACATTATTCATCATAAGAGTTATATATTAGCAGCTTTCGGAAAGTGATGAAGAATTATTTTTACCTACTAAGAAACTGACCCAAGGGCTTTTGGTGGGCGTTTGATCTCTTAACCAAAGGGGAAGAACAACGTGATTTCGTTTTCTCTAAAGCATCCTTTTAAGGAGACATTAAGTTGGCAGCAGCACTGGGAAGTCTAACTGACAGGTTGGGTGGATCCAGGCAAGTAAATCATGCAGGGCCTCAATTGTGTCATCAAATAAAACTGAAGTAGAGAAAGCACGTGAGAAAAAGAAGCAAACTCTCACATACAAAATGACCCAGGTTGGGCTGGGCGTGGTGACTGAGGCCGGTAATCCCAGCACTTTGGGAGGCTGAGGCGGGTGGATCACCTGAGGTCAGGAGTTTGAGTCCAGCTTGACCAACCGTGGTGAAACTCCGTCTCTATTAAAAATAGAAAATTATCCGGGCGTGGTGGCACATACCTGTAATCCCAGCTACTTGGGAGGCTGAGGCAGGAGAATTGCTTGAACCCAGGATGTGGAGGCCATGCCATTGCACTCCAGCCTGGGCAACAAGAGTAAAACTCCGTCTCAAAAAACAAACAAACAAACAACACTCTGGTGGTTCATTCTGACACAAGTAAAAAATGTTTGAAGATGACCAGAAGCCTGATTAAAATTAATCTACTAATTAATAATGACTATCATTCAGAAGAGTCCTTGAAGGGTTTATAAATATTTCTAAACAAATTTCTGTACTCATTTTTATTTTAGCTAACGTGCCACATTAGTGTGTGGGGTGTTAGTCTTTAAAGAGTTTAAATATAGATTTTTAAAATTAGAAAATAAATATGTGCTTGTCATGGCAAACCTGAAAATTCAGATGAGCATATGGAAAAAATTAATGCTCCCATTACCCAGGCCAACCACAGTTAACCTTTTAGAAATTTCCTTGGTTATTTACCATGCAGCAAGGTATACTTACCGACATGTGATCATTTGTTATATATACATTTGTATACACAGATTAAATGCGGAGGGGCGTTTCCGATACCAGCTCATGTTAGAAATTTCAGAAATATAGGATAGTGGAAAGAAAATAAAAACTCACCAGGCATGGTGGCTCATGCCTGTAATCCCAGCACTTTGGGAGGCTGAGGCGGTTGGATCACCTGAGGTCAGGAGTTTGAGAACAGCCTGGCCAACATGGTGAAACCCCATCTCTGCTAAAATTACAAAAATTTGACGGGCGCAGTGGCTCACCATTGCACTCAAGCCTGGGTGACAAGAGTGTGAAACTCCATCTCAAAACAAAACAAAACAAAAAAATCTATGGAATGAAAAAGAAATCACCTAGAACTGCACCTTCCAGAGAGAACTGCTGCTCACATGCTGGTATTGGTGTATTTTCTAATATCATGTTTCTAAGGGGAAAAAAAGTTGAGTATGCATTGCATGTTCTGGTTTCTCAGCTTGGTTACCTGGGCTGATGATAGCTGCCCTGAGGGCTCTGTGGGTCCCCTACCCTGCTTAAGAAAGAAATAAACAAAACTCTGGTGGCTCCAGTCAGTCAATGTATGCTTTACAAGATGTAGAAAATGTTGGTGAGGTCTTTTTATTATTATTATTTTACTAGCATTTTATTTTGAGACGGAGTCTTGCTCTGTCGCTCAGGCTGGAATGCAGTGGTGTGATCTCAGCTCACTGCAATCTTTCCCTCCCAGGTTCAAGCAAGTCTCCTGCCTCAGCCTCCTGAGTAGCTCAGATTATAGGTGCCTGTCACCATGCCTGGCTAATTTTTGTATTTTTAGTAGAGATGGAGTTTCGCCATGTTGGCCATGCTGGTCTTGAACTCCTGGTCTCAAGTGATCTGCCCACTTTGGCCTCCCAAAGTGCCGGGATTACAGGTGTGAGCCACCGCACCTGGCCATTTGCTAGCTTATTTTAATGCTTACTCCCTCACTCCCTATCCCTTCTGATTAATTAATGAGAAATTTAAACATTGCAAAAATGTCTGTCTTATGATTAAAAAAGGGGAGGGGGGAGAAATAAACTTTAATGTTTCTTTGCTTAAACACACTGAAAGCAGAAAAGGAGCAGGACTAACATCTGGCCTAACGTCAGGAGGGCTCCTTTGGCTACCCAAGTAGCCAAGACACACAGAGAGAGATGACTCAGCTGGCTTCTGGTCCCTTCCACCAAGCAACAAACAGCACGTTCTCCACCAATGCTATGGCTCTTAGAACTCACAGGGAAGGAGAATCCGTTCAGTCCCGACTGGCTGGATCCTAAACCTGCCCCATTCAGAACCCTGCCATGCCCCTCACATGCAAAGGAAGGGTAGTGCAGAGAAAATACCCTTTGAAGGCTTTTGTGAAGTCTTGTAAGATAGGGCTTTCCCTGCAGTTTGCCACGAGTAGGAAGTTGCTCTATTCTGCAGTACAGATTTTAAAGTTAATGATAAACATAGTCTCAAATTACTTTTATTTTATTTTAATTTAATTTTTTGAGATGGAGTTTCACTCTGTTGTCCAGGCTGGAGTGCAATGGCGCGATCTCGGCTCACTGCAACCTCCGCCTCCTGAGTTCAAGCGATTCTCCTGCCTCAGCCTCCCAAGTAGCTGGGATTACAGGCGCCCGCCACCACGCCCAGCTAATTTTTGTATTTTTGGTAGAGACGGGATTTCACCATGTTGGCCAGGCTGGTCTTGAACTCATGACCTCAGGTGATCCACCCACCTCGGCCTCCCAAAGTGCTGGAATTACAGGCGTGAGTCACCGACCCCGGCCTCCAATTATCTTTAATTCAGTCATACTAGCTATTGGCCCAGATATTTTTTAGAATAAATCATTTACCTGGAAGGGGATCTCCAGTGCTATCTGGAAAGCCATTTTCTTCTCCCTAAAAACCAAAAAGCAACCTTCATTAAAATCATATCCAAATGTGAATGGAGATATTATCCATCTTCCAACTTACTTAAATTTCCACCAAAACCCTGGGGGCTGGGGTGGGTGGAGGGACTGGATCTTGAGAATGGTATTTTAATGGGAGGTGAACCCAGCATCTGCCTCTAGAATATGAGCACCTTGAGTGCAGGGACTTTTGTTTATTTGCTCCCTGTGCTGTCCCAGTGCCCAGAACAGTGCTTGATACACAGCAGACACTCAAACTTGCTAAATGCCCTAGTGTCCCTATTTTTAAAAATTGTCAGCTGGACACCATAGTTTGTGCCTGCAGCCCCAGCTACTTGGGTGGCTGAGATCACTTGAGCCCAGGAGTTGGAGGCTGCAGTGAGCTATGACTGAGCCACTGTACTTCAGCCTGAAAGACAGCAAGATCTCAAAGAAAGAAAAAAAAAAGGGTATCAATGCAAGCAACAATGTGCTATTTTTATTTTACATTATGGGTTATCTTCCTTATTTTATTTCTTATCTGCTTTTTGTCTGTCAGGGCTTGTCTGTCGATCCAGGTTACAATTCTTTCCCTTTTCTATTTATTTCAGTATATATCGCAAAGCAGCTAAAACCAACTATGAAAAAGTGGTGTCCAAATCTCTTGAGAGACAATCGTGTTTCTGCCCTTCTGACTGGGGTTCCATTTTTATAATCAGGACCATGCTACAGGGATGTGAGGGATGATCTTGGAGGGGTGTGTGTGTGTGTGTGTGTGTGTGTGTGCGCGCGCGCTTCCCATGAAGTCAGCAGAGGAGACCGGTCCCAGTATACCTTCGTTTATGTTAACTCCATCTTTCTACAACCAAATCTTTCTTATCAGCTAATGCCACCTCCCACCCCACCCCCATCCACAGTACTGAAGAAGCACAAGAGGCCAGTCAGAAACCCTGGGCTTTAGAACCTCAGGCACAGTGCCAGTGAGGGTCTCAGATCCCCCGTTTGTGTACTGAGGTAGCTGTGGGATTAGCTCAGCTCTAACGTGCCTCTATTTTCTTGGGTCTGAGAGTTTCACCTGTCAAGATGTGCTAAATCCGTGGTGTCAATGTGTTTTAAGCATTTTTTTTTTTTTTTTTTTTTTGAGATGGAGTCTCTCTCTGTCACCAGGCCGGAGTGCACTGGAGCAATCTCGGCTCACTGCAATCTCTGCCTCCCAGGTTCAAGTCATTCTCCTGCCTCAGCCTCCTGAGTAGCTGGGATTACAGGCATGCGCCACCACACTCAGCTAATTTTTGTATTTTTGTAGAGATGGGGTTTCACCATGTTGGCCAGGATGGTCTCCATCTCCTGACCTCGTGATCTGCCCGCCTCAGCCTCCCAAAGTGCTGGGATTACAGACGTGAGTCACTGTGCCTGGTGTGTTTTAAACATTTTAAACAATCTTTCTCTCTTAATCTTCTCAGAGGAGCCTTTTGCCTCATCCCAAGCTCATCCATCCCCATGTCTCAGCCGTGTACATACCTTCACCTAACCACAAACCTAGATTTTTTTTTTTTTTCCACACAGGCACATTCCCATGTGTTACCAGCTAGACTTTTCTCCTAAGTAATCTAAATATTTCTTATCTTTGCTGGAACTAAAAACCAATTTGCTTACCATAATTCATACAATTTCTTTTCGTTTAGTTGAAGTCGTACTTTCTTCTCACATTTCCCTTACTCAGGAGTGTGTGCGTGCATGTGTGTGTGTGTGTGTGTGTATCAGAGAGAGTGAGTGTGAGAGAGAAAGAGAGAAACAGATGAAGAGACAGAGATGGAAAGAGAGAATTATAGTGAGTCTCTGAGCAGATAGAAATCTCTCTCTATGCAACCTTTTGTTTTATTTCAAGGCTAACCCCAGAAGCCCCACGACTTTAGGGACACTAGTCATTACTCTGCAGGTCATGTGGAGACCTGCCTTTTCGCATCTGCATCACTCCTGCAGGATTGGGCAGGTATGTGGACTCTTTTATCAACACAGTCACGGTTCTGCTCACTGAATTGGAAACCTGGGCTGAGGAAACAGAAACAGGAACTTCAGGTACTCTCGAGAGATACAAATGTTAGAACTTGACAGATTTTGTGGTATTTGAGGTTCCTGCTAAAACATGAACTTGACTCTAAGTAGAAACTATGTTACTTGGCATATTTGACTTGATTTCTCATAATCGGGAGAAAATTTTACCAAGGTCAATGTCTGGCCAGAATCATCCCCGTGATGCAGACAGGGAATATGAATTACTTGTCAAAGTTGATAACGATAGAATTTAGATTAATATGCATGATCTTTGTTCTTAGCTCTGATTATCAGGTTGCGCTATGTTGTGGGTTTGTTTTCTAAGAGTGAAATAGGGAAACCACTGATTTTTGTGGGTTTTGTAGTCTTAATGAAAGCATACACATGCCTTTATTCAACACCTATTTATTGAGCAGCTAATATGTAAAAGCCCCCATACTGCAATGCACAGACAAAGATAAAAGGACCTGAACCCTTGACCTCAAGATATGCTGGGAAATGGAGACCACTTAAACAACTAAAATGCAAGGCACGAGATAGTGAATTCCAAGAGAGGGGTACAGATGAAGTCAGAGCGGAAAGGTGTCTTCTGATGAAAAAAATCAGAGGCAGTCTCTTGGAGACAGACATGTTTGAGACGGAACCTGCTGAAATCCGGGCAGTGGGGACTTGAGAGGAAGAAGCATCTAATCTTAAGCAAAAACCATGAGAGGGGCAAGAGGGAGATGATTCAGAGATCAGGCTGGAAGTTAAGAAAAACAAACAAAACAAAAAGAAGCGGGTGAGACAGGTGAATAGACTGGGGCCTGTCCAAGGAGCTGGACGTCATTCCAGACAACAGGGAGCCACTCAGGGGCTCTTGTCTGAAGCAGGGCATCCTCACAGGTGTCTAAGACCAGCGCAGGAAATACCTGCCGGGCTACAGTGTAGGACGCGTGGGGGAACAGAACATGTGGAGGCGACGGACAGAGAAGGGGGAAGAATGACATGAGCAAGGATTAATGAGACTCCGCATCACTCCTCCAGGAGAGAAGGGGATGAAGCGAGAGCCGCTGTAGAGATGCGATCACTGGGGAAAACAGGAAAGGAGGTGAAATGCAGAGCAAGCTGTGAAGAGGTGACAGAGAAGACAAGGGCAGGCTCACACACAACAAACTTGAGAAACCTATAGGAGCTGAAAGCATGGTCCTGGTCTCTGGGAGAGGCCAGGGCAGGAGATGAAAATAAGGATGTCGAAGTGATTACGAAAGAAATGACTGGAAGTGAAAAGACAGCTGTGAGGTCACAACCCTCGAGAAGGACCTGAGAAGGACACGTCAGTGGCAGAGGAAGGAACGAAAGGACAGCAGAGAAAGGAGGTTAGAGAGGGGAAGAAAAGCAGGGGAAGCAGTATCAAAAGTTGCAGCAAACGGCCAGGCACGGTGGCTCATGCCTGTAATTCCAGCACTTTGGGGGGCCGAGGCAGGCCAATCGCCTGAGGTCAGGAGTTTGAGACAAGCGTGGCCAACATGGTGAAACCGCGGCTCTATTAAAAATACAAAAATTAGCTGGATGTGGTGGTGAGTGCCTGTGATCCCAGCTACTCGGGAGAGTGAGGCAGGAGAATCACCTGAACCTGGGAGGCGGAGGTTGCAGTGAACCGAGATCACGCCACTGCATTCCAGCCTGAGTAACAGAGCAAGACTCTGTCTCAAAAAAAAAAAAACAAAAAAACAAAAAAACAACGATTGCAGCACTCCAACCCAGGTGACTGAGTGAGACTCCATCTCCCAAAAAAAAAAAAAAACTTGCAGAAAGAGATGGACTCTGAGCACCAAGTGAAGACAAGACTTGGTGAGGAGGAGACGAGCAGCAATTTTGAAAGCCGTTCTAGCAGAGTGGTGGCCGGCTGATACCAGGTAGGCAGTGAGGCCATGGAGATGGCTGAAGAACACGCATGTGGTTATGTAGGCCTGAAATGCCACCCTCCCCAGCCCTTCCATCTGCTTAATTTCTCTTATCTGTAGAGCCTCAGCTTAGACATCACTTCCGCTAGGACACCTTCTCCAAACCCCCAGTCTGGGTTCTGTGCCCTGGGCGTTCCCCAGGCACCCTGTCCATGCACCCCACAGGATGCCTGTTCCACTGGGCCTGAAGTGTATTCAAGGAGCAAGGGATGGACCTTGATGATGAAAAGACACCATTTCTTTGGAGATGGGACAAAGAGGGAGAAAAACGGGGGCAAATCTGGAGAAACGTGGAGGGAGGTGAGATATCTGTTGGCCCAGCCTCCATGTCAGGGGATAGGAAGCAGAAACGGGGAATGGGCAGTTACCGTTCAATGCATATAGAATTTCAGTTTGGGAAGACAGAAAAGTTCTGGAGGTGGACGGTGGTGATGGTTGCGCAACACCGTGAATATACTTAATGCCACTGAGCTGTGCACTTAAAAATGGTTAAAATGGGTCAGGCGCGGTGGCTCACGCCTATAATCCCAGCACTGGGGAGGCGAGGCGGGCGGATCACCTGAGGTCGGGAGTTCGAGACCAGCCTGGCTAACATGGTGAAACCCCATCTCCACTAAAAATACAAAATAAGCCGGGCATGGTGGCGGGCACCTGTAATCCCAGCTTCTTGGAAGGCTGAGGCAGGAGAATCACTTGAACCTGGGAGGTGGAGGCTGCAGTGAACCGAGATCTTGCCACTGCACTCCAGCCTGGGTGACAGAGTTAAAAACGGTTAAAGTCGTAACTTTTAAGTTATGTATATTTTACCACAATAAAAAATGTTTAAAATGTGTTCTCTCAAACTATGTGGGCAGTAGGGAAGGCGACATGCTCGACATACTCTGTAGAGCCCTGTGCCAGAGTGACACGAAACAAACACTATTCCAAGGATAGAGAAATGCCGTGTGAATAGCATTTATGAAACAGGAGAGACGGGAAAAAAATGCGGCATCTCTAAATTAGATTAATC